TGTACTGACACAATAATAATTGATAATAGGCGAACGACGTACGCCATTTTGTGCGTATCACTAAGTTGCTGACATACCTATTTAATTTGTCATGGGCTTAGTAATTTAATATATCATGGCAATAATGGAATGATGTCTTGATAAATGTCGGAGACAGCCGTTAAGTTACCACTTATCGATGAGCGGTCGGAAAGCGTGACGAGGCCCATTAGCTAGGAATGCGTACGCCGTAACAGCCCGCGCTGCCTGGTGGTAGCGTTGCTCTCCGAGGCGACTAGCGGCAAAATTTTGAAACATACGCTAGCTCATATGCAACTATGCAAGTCGTTAGTGCACATATTATTTTTCATTTCATGTCTCTGATATCGTATACGCCCATGCGTAATATTTATATTTGATAATATTATGGTTTGCCACCAGAATTCGTAATTTATTTAAAATATAAATAATTAATAATAACTTTGATGTATTATTGATTATAAACTAAAATGTATAGTTTTAAATCACCAGAAATAATTTTCAAGGTTTAAGATGAATACATTAACATCAATGAATTATAGATTTTTCCTCATAAATAGTGCTTAATTTTAGAAACCATATTGATGGCACCATAATACAAGGCCTAAAAAAAGTTTTAAGCCTAGTGAGAAACATTATGATTGTAAAGCTACTCTAGGATTAAAAATTTATTAATAACAACAGTTGTGTGATGAGAGACTTTGTGAACTTGTAAGTCTAATTTTAATTTTAATTTTAATTAATATAAAATTTAACCCTTTGTAGACCAACAATAAATGATGATAGAAATTTGATTTTTTTTTGCACCTTTATAAATTATTATTTTTTTGATGAATTTAGAAATTAAGAAATTTTAAATTGGAGGTTTTTTTAATATATTTTTAAGGAGTGGGACAAATAAGTCCCATTGGTCATCTAAGGACTATACTTAAAAGTCCCTATGGTCCGTTATGACACTACTATTTTCTTATTCCTTATGATAAATAAGTAATAATTAATTAATTAAAAATATAATGACCATGTTAAATATGTTTATAATTCATGTTTCAAATTAACAACAATATAAACTTAAAGAAAATAGTTATAGTAACAAAAAATAAATGGTCAATTTTTTTATATTACAAATTAATTAAGAACATTGAGTAGTACTATGTTCAATATTATAAATGTTTTCTTCATAATTTATCATATAATAAGACTTTTATTAAAAACATAGTTATAAGCATAAATATAATATAATAAACATAATAGTCATATACAAAAAAAGTGACAAGAAACTGAAAACTCGAAGTGACTGCAGAGTGGTTTTACAGCTAAACACCTAAGAAAGAAGTTAAAGAAAATAATATTTACAAGGGCACCTCGGAGCCATTTAAAAAAAAAAAAATTTTTTTTTAAAGTTACAGGTCATTGAAATTGTTGAAATAATGTTTTACTTTAAACGAAAATTTGGCGTTATAATTTAAAAAATGAAGAAAATTCTTCCGAGATGCCCTCTAAAATGTTATTCTCTAAAATTTTGTTTTTTTGTGTTTTTGCCCTAAAACTGTTCTGGATCGATTTATTTTCAATCGAAATTAGCATGTTTTACGATGTGAAATGTTAATTTTTTTCCGTCTAGTGCTGCGCCTAGCGGTACTATGAATTCCAACATTGGTTTGAGCGGCGGCAGTCCCCACTCTACAATACAAGCTAAATAGACGCTCTGCGATAATGATAAAAATTAAAAATAGCATCGTCGCTCGACGCCACAACGAATTTCTCCGTATTATTTTCAATAATAATTATTTTCGTTATTATCGAAAATAATGAATGTCACAATAATAATCCTACTATATAAAGCAATAATATTATTATAAAATATGGTTATGAGTTTAGGTCTGGACGTTTTAGACGAGTTAGTCGAGTTTAGACGGCGTTATGGAATGCAACATTTGAGAGCGTCAGTCTTGTTTTTATCATTTGTCATTTTTGATTTTTATTAAAAATATTAATTATTAGTACATTGTACGTATAACATTTTTACGTGTTTATTTTTACTATAATTTACGATGGGGAATAAAAAAAATAAAATACCGAGAAAACGATGCACAATTATTAAAATGAAAGCTGTTTCACTCATTCGCCATTACAGCGGTAAAAATAAAAGGTAAGTCAAATTTAACAGCTAAGTTTTAGTCTATACTAAAAAGGTAATTATTGAATTTTATATGTATGAAAACAACAATCTGTTTTTGATATTTGCTTTTATTCAAAATGTATAAGTCGTAGATGCATGAAATTTTTGCCAATTTTAGATTCTGAACGGATTGATGAATGTATTTATTTTACATTGATGTGTATTTTATTTTAGATTTTGAGCGGAGCGATGATTTTACAATGATGTGTGTTTTTTTTTAAATTTAAAATTTTTTTTTTTTGTGTGTCGTCATCACCTTTTTGGACAGTAAAAATACTTGGATTTTCTTCAATAATAGCTTTTCTGATAGGAAAGTGAATCTAGTTGGTACTTAAGGTGAAAAGGTGGTCAAAAGTAAAAATTTCCTTTTCAGTACTTTTCAAAATTACCGTGAAAAACAAATGAAAAATTAAGGAAAAAACGGGAATTTTTACGCAAACCCGATTTTGGACAAATCGATTTTGATTTTTTGTGTTCTCTAAAAGAAATGACAGTAGATCCATGAAATTTAGACTGAATATTTATATAAGCATTTTCTACGCGACCTAAAATTTTCAAAATATTTTGACTTATTTTGAAATGTTTACGGACATTTGCAGTTTCCATTTTTTTTAGGTTTTTTTTCTGAAATATTCGATTTTTGTTTTTATTTTTTATAAATGTCGGTTAAAATTTGCTGAGCCAAAATACATGAAAATTTAATAGAAGGTTGAAAAAAAGTTAATCTTTTAATCCATAGATTATTCAAATATTTTCAAAATACACACAATTTTTTTTATAAGCATTTGAAAGATCAAATTTTTACTAAATATGATAAAATCGCGAACATTTTAAGTTATTTTGTAGTTGAAAACCCAAACAAGTTAACAACCGAAAATTTAATACAAGGTTGTCCATAAGTTTTGTTCACAATAATTATAAAAAAATTGTACAAGCGTCTAAATTTAAAATTTTTACGATACTAAAAATTTAAAAAAGGTAGGTAAGTGGATGTCGCTCTGCTGTACAGTAGGTTATAAGACGTGGGTCAATGTAATGGATGGTGTTTAATTTGAATTCAATGATATAATATCATTGTATGAGAAATACGATTCTGAGCAAAAACGGTCAGTCAGCCTATGATATTACCAAGTATATTTTATGATATTATTGGGAATAATGTAATTTATATAATATAACCTATTAACCTACGTGGAACCTTGTTTTAAATTTTCAATCCTTAGCTATAAAAGTTGAACATTTTATAAATTTTTAACCACAAAATAATTATTACATTTTAAATTCGATAAATTTTGTCAAACTTTGAACTTTAAATGCTTATAAAAAAAATTTGTGCCTATGTATTTTTGATATTTTTCAACTGCTAATGTAACATTATATCAGGAGCCTTGCAATAAATTTTCACGCTTTTTTACCAACAAATAAAATTTTATTGATATTTATAGAAAAAAAAACAAAAAAAAATTGAAAACTGACAATGTCTGTAAACAGCTCAAAAAGAGTCAAATTATTTTCAAAATTTTATCGTGTATAGAAAACGCTAATATAAACATTCAGTGAAATTTTCAAGTATCTACAGTCATTTGTTTTTTAATTGCAACAAAATAAGAAAAAATTATATATAATTATGTATAAAAAATCGAGTGAATATCAAATGTTGTAAAAATATGAATTTCAAACACTCATAAAAATTTAATTTGACTTTCTGGTAGACATTTTTTTTTTGACAAAGGTAGACAAACTTATGAGGAATCTTGTATTACATTTTCAAACCTTAGATTTCAAAAGAAAAATTTTTACGAATTTTCAACTCAAAATAATTTGCTAATTTTCGTGATTTTTCGGTATTTTGTCAAGATTTGAACTTTAAATGCTTATAAATAAAAACTGTGACTAACGATTTTTGATTTTTTTCATCTGCCTTTGAAACAATATACTAGGAACCTTCTATTAAATTTTCAAGTTTTTTCAAATTCACGAACGATTTTCTATCAAACGGTTTTAGATACAAAATAAATAAATAAAATACCCTAGACTGACAAATTATATTGTATTGTATTAATTTCATGATAAATAATTGTTCTTTTCATTATACAACAAATTAGTTCACCAATTTTGCCAAATGTATCTCATGAAAATATTTCGAGCGATATTGAAACCGATATGAATTTGAACCTTGACAACAATTGGTATGTTAATATTATTTTTATCTCAACCAGTTAATTTAAATAATTTAAAATATATATAAATATTATTACAGTACTGGTCGTATAATTATAAATGATATTCCTGAGCATAGTATCATGGAACATACAGTCAGTGGTATAATAAATGATCGAGATGTTTTCCAATCTGATGATAATAATTTACTAATTTGCGGGTAAGATCACAATTTATTTATATTATCTATTTAACAACTAGGTACGTTAGATTGTTTATTGTATTATATTAATTTCATGATAAATAATTATTCTATTTTCATCATACAACAAATTAGTTCACCAATTTTGCCAAATACATTACATGAAAGCATTTCAAGCAATATTGAAACCGATATAAATTTGAATCTTGATAAAAATTGGTATGTTTAATATTATATTTCATTATTTCTTTTATCTCAAACAGTTAATTTTAATAATTTAAAAAATACTTAAATATTATTTCAGTACTGGTCGTAGAATTGTTGATATATTTTATATTTTTCAACAAATAAAAAATGATATGCACGATGGTGGATTTGGGTGCTCTTTTATGAACTCAGAGTTAGTTAAGGAGATTCGTAATGGATATTACTGTACATGGATATTTAAATGTTCAATGTGTCTAATAACCACCAAAATCGAATCAGAAAGAACCGGGACATATATTCAAGTCAATAAGGCAACTGTTACCGCCAGCATTGGAATTGGAATTGGTTACTCTCAACTCAACGAGTTCTCAGCTATTATAGACGTTCCCTGTTTATCAAGCAATACGTATGGTAAACTATTTGAGCAAATTAGTCAAAATATTGAACAGACTGCTTGGGAACAAATGAGATTGGCAGGAGTTGAGGAAAAACGTTTGGCAATAGAAGCTGGGGATATTGATTCAGATGGTACACCGTTATGTATTGTTGTAGCTGACGGTCAATGGGGAAAACGCAGTTATAAAACAAAATATGATGCGCTGTCTGGAGCTGTAAGTACCAAAAAAAAATGATTGCGATTAATAATATATTATAAATACAATATAAATTAATATTAATGATTATTGACTATTGAAAACAAATAGGCCACAATCATTGGTTTTCGTACAAACAAAATACTGTTTGTAGGAATAAGAAACCGTTATTGCTGTTTGTGTGAAAGAGCACATGCACTTAAATTAACTGTCAGAGATCATAAATGTTTTTTAAACTGGGATAAAGCTTCGACTGGCATGGAAGCTGATGGTATAGCCGAGGGGTTTGTAAGAAGTGTCGAATTACATGGTTTGAAGTTTAATAGATTAATTGGTAATATTGTAATTAATTAATTGTACAGCATTCAATATAATTAAAAAAAAATTACAGGTGATGGAGACAGTAGTGTTTCGAAACGGTTGTTGGAATTAGTTCCCTATGGCTCTCATCAATTAGTTAAAAAAATAGAATGTCGTAACCACATTTTAAGGAATTACAGTACCAAATTATCAGCTCTAACAAAAATTATAAAATATCCGTCTTATCTAAGACATATAATTACGAAAAATATAACTAAATTTATCGCGGCTATTCGAAAAGCTATTCAATATCGTAAGAAGTTGGATATAAGTGAAGCAGATAAAATAAAAGGTTGTTGTATTTTTTCTCGTAGAATAGTAAATAAATAAATAGGTAAATATTATAATAATCAAAAATTATCAAAATTATTTTAATATGTTTAAGGTCTGAAAAAGGATATTTTAAACTGTCCCTATCATATTTTCGGCCAGCATAAAAATTGTGATGTTTATTTTTGTAAAACACCCAAGAATATTGAGAATCATGTACCAGCTACAGAGGAATGTGGTATGATGCTGGAGATTTTATCTATTTTGAGAAGAGTGGTAGATAATGCTGCTAGTCTTATACTCGATGTTACTAATAATCTGTGTGAACAATTTAATAGTATCATAAATAAATTCATCGCAGGAAAGCGAATAAACTTTTCATTAAAACAATCATATAATACACGTATTCAAGCTGCAATTATTTCATATAATACCAATGGAAATTTTCTAAGGGCAATTCATAAAAATGTTATGGAGAAAAGTCCAGGTAAAAAAAAATTTAAATTTATCAATAATATTATTATTTATTACATTATAAGTTGTAACTTGTAACTGGAGTCTATAATCTACATATAAAATAATAATGACCTTTATAGGTAAACTGTAACTAAAATAACCATATACTTACCAGTTACCTATTACCTTAAAAAGTGAAACAAATTTATAAAATTTATTACCATATCACAGTAAAAAATACCCAAAACATTGCACAAAAATTTTTTTTATATTCACTGAAATGCGTTAAAACGTTCTTAACTTATTTATTTTTATTTTGAAACTAGGTACCATATTTAACTATAATGTAATAAAAAATAAAATAATATAATATTTGTTTGTGAAGGTATGATAGGAAAACGGTTCTTAAACTCTAAAATGAAAAAGAATGAAAACACTAAAAAAAGAAGACTTAATTTTAATAGAACATCGTTTAAAAAATTTAAACATACTGGTCCCGACGAATTCTATGGTCTTGCGGATCCTTTGCCAATTGAAGAAAGATGCACATTAGAAGAATTGAAAGAAAAGAAAAATGAGTTTATAACATCTATTACGTTATGCAAGTATCAAAGGGATATTTTAGAAGTCGATACAAGAGAACAAAGTTCCAGTTCCAAATGGTTTGCAGAAAGGCGTAACAGATTAACTGCCTCCGATTTCGGAAAAATTTGTAAGATGCGTGAAACTACGTCTTGTAAAAATACGGTATTCAATAAACTTTACAATTCATCTGGAAATGCCAATGAACCACAAGCATGTAAATATGGCAAGAATATGGAATCTCTAGCTATTAAATATTTTGAAAACGAAATAGGCGTACAAGTCAATCGATGTGGTTTATTTATTGACGAATTATATCCCTATTTAGGAGCCTCCCCAGGTATATTAAACCAACGGTTATACCTATTAGTATTATTCAATGTTTAAAATATATATATAAAATATAATCATCAATACAATTTTTAATTTCAGACGGACTTATTGATCACAATACTATTTTAGAAGTAAAATGTCCATATGCAGCAAGAGACTGTCAAACTCTTAACGAGGCAATTGAAACTAAAAAAGTAATTGCCTATAAATTGGGTATTTTAATGAAATTTAATAACTGACGTTTATTTTTTTATAATAAATATTAAAATATATGATAATACCTATTATAGATAAACTTTTTAAAAATAAACGAAGACGGACAAGTGATTTTAAAGCGTGACCATAATTACTTTTATCAAATAATTGGGCAGTTAAGAATTTCATCAAAATTATTTTGTTATTTTGTTGTGCATACACAAAACTGGACGCATATACAAAAAATCGAATATGATTCTCAGTTTTGGACTGAAATAATGGAGATGAAATTAAAACGGTGAAATTAAAAACAATTTTATAATACTAATTTATTCAACTGTTAATTGAACTTAACACAAAATAATTATATTTGTTGTCAGGTTTTATTGTGAATGTTTACTGCCGGAGATTGTCGACCCCCAGTTCGGAAAACGAGGTATATTGAGTGATATAATAGAGCCAGAATATATAATTCAAGCACAACAAAAACAAAAAGACAAGAAAATAAAAGCAAAAAAATGTTAAATAAATATGATTATACCCATTATAATAAATTAAATTAAATAAATATTTAATAAATTTTATTTAATTGCGCTGTATTTATTTAATTTGATATAAAAAAAATATTAATTACAAATATATTTTACCCTAGATATTATAATATTTGAATCGCGACGGTCCTTAGAAAAATATATTTGTAATTACTTATTATCATATTTTAATATAACATTAACAGTTGAACGTAAAAGATAAAACACGGAAAATTAATATTAATTTAATTGAACAATATAATATTTATTGTATTTACCATTTATTAGATTTTACTATAAGTATTATATTTAAATAAGTAATAATTCAATAACTTCAAATCAAGCTATGTTATAATACAGTTTCTACGATCTATATATTGGGACATAAATTTAGGGAAGCAGTATCATAATTTATAATCGGTAGTTCATAAGTACGCGCGGGTATTGAAAATATTACGGCCGCATCTGCGTATAATGAATTTTGTAATGATACGAATCATACTGAACGAACGTTCATAGACAAATAAATAGCGCTCCCGAACGAGCAGTCGTCGCCGCCGTCGGCCGGTTGCGAATTGCGAATAGTAGGCGTGACTTAAACGCCGCGCGCTTGCGGATCGTGAAAACACCTAACAGTGCATCCTCTCGGTCGTTGCACGCGTAAATATTTCGTGACACGTCCTCTTAA